TCCTACTTCACTTGATAACCTCTTAGATGTTAGTATTAATTATCAAGTATATGTTTTTTTCATTTGACATTTTGTGTGTGCGTGCGAGCAAAGAGGAGGGTTGTGTTCCAGTAAGTTGTTCTCTCTGATTAGAATTCCATTCTGATAAGATGATGTGCTGGTGTGAGTGTAGAGGGCAAGGGAGGAGGAGCTTTTGGTGTGTGTGTGTGTGTGTGTGTGTTTGTGTGTGTATGTAGGTATGTATGCGTGTGCATATGCGTGTACGTGTGTGTGAGAGGGGCTTGGGTGGGGGGAGTTGAGGTGTTACTTGCTCGTCTCTGAGGCTTGCCTGTCATGTAAAGCATCAGTCATGCTCTTTCACAGCAGTTTTATTTCATCCGCCATTCCCTTTAGTACTTCGACGGCACAATTCACTGATACTGTCTTGTGGGAAGTGCAGCTGTTTGGGAAGCATGTGTGTGTGCGCAGTGTTACACATTGTCATATTTTTGTCAATTGCCTTTAAACTGTGGCAGAGATTCGATCAAAGCCAGTCAGTAGAATTATTAAAAGTGAGACAAGTAGATAACTCTTTTAAGATTCTGGCTTTGTAGCCTCATCTGACCCTGTGCCTAAACATTCTTTTTCTTCTCTCAAGAAAAGAATAAAACTTTTCTCTCTTTAATACCCAAGACCCCATGATTTTTTTTTCATTCAAGAAAAGATTGGAACACAAATTGACATATTTATTTTGTTATTTTCACTGTGTATTTTCCCCAAAGTATACTACACTGGGGGCAAAGGAAAACTGAGACAGTCCTTCCTCTTCGCTCTATTTTTCATACTTATCTCTCCTCCCACAATCACGCCATCAAGTTGACATTCATCACAGGCCTCCATTAAGAGGTCTTAAGTTGGAAGTGCTTAAACGGAAGATGGCTAGCACTGTGTGTACTGTGGCAGGGCAGAGCAGGCCTTTCAACTCATGCCGTTATCCCACTTTTGGTGTCTGTCTGTAATGCACTGCTCTCTGCCGTCTTGTGATCGAGTCCTGCTTTCCCTTCCTGCGTTATCTGATCTCAGCTTGTGACGTTAACTGGTTTTATTCAATGGCAACATTTGTCACTTTCTGTCGTGCTAACTCTCAAGATTCTCTGCCTCTTTAAACAGGCACAATCTTTTTCTTTTTTTTTTCACAGAGTATGTCATCTTTGAGCTCCAATTAATGTTATACATTACCATTAGAGCCTAAAATATATACTGTAGTCGCACCTATGCTGTGTCCTTTGCTACCTTCTTACTTTTGCTCGACTGGTGATGTGATGCAGACTCCCCACTGCTCTGTACTCACAAGTGTATCCTTATCTTCACCACTTCCTGGGTGATAGCGCAGTCTGATAACTACAACAGTCACTGCTCCGTCTGATTGATTAACCAGTGACCTCTGACCCCCTGCGGGACATTTTAATTGGCTGATTTATAATGAGCAGGCTTCCCTGAAGAAGAGCTGTTTTAAGGCCAGAGCGGATGAAGGGGTGATGCTGGAAGGGGGCAATCTAATTAGCTGATTTAACTGATAACACCTGAGGCAGCTTTGTGTGTGTGTGTTCACGTGTGTGTACGTGTGTCCCATTGCAGTATTATGTTAGGATAATTCATAGTTTAAATGACTAAGCCAGGTATGTTTATATGTTCTGAAGTGGTAAACACTCTGGTACTATGTGCTTCTTGTGTGTGTTAGAGAGTGAGTTAGTGTGTGTTGGTGTAAATAAATGAGATTCTGTGAGGCTATAAGTTATGATGACTAGATCAATACAACTTAATGTAGTAAGCTGGAGGCTTTCGAGTACTGGCTTATTATATTGCATTCAAATGTCGAATAACATCAAATTCAAAATTACGTTCCCGTAATTTTTTACACTGGTTTTAAAAGTAAATATTGACAGATTTACATTTCATTCTGCCTTATAATTTAGCATACTTTCCTTTGTATTTGTAGTCTTGTAAAAGCAAATATTCTCATAGACATAACAGGGTTTTCCCTGGCAGAAAATTAGGCGGGGGTGGTACAGAGCCGTACGACCGTACGAAAAAAAAAAAAATCCTTACACGATGTAACGTTAATTTAAAGGAAACTTTTCAGGAAGCTGGGTGTGCTTGGATGTAAAAGAGATAATATTCATCTGTAGGGTTGCCACCTTTTATGTGAAAGAACGTGGCAACCGGTTTGGTTTTACTTGACAGCACTTTGAGGACATAACATGAACGAAAATACGGGACAAATTGCGTCCCGTATTGATTCAAATCCACCGAGTACCGAGAAAACAAGTACTAGAATAATTTTATTTTCAAATACGGGACGATCAAGTACTATACAGGACGGGTGGCCGGGTGGGGGTAACCGGTGGCATTCACCTGTTTGCAGAGCCGCAAAATCAGGTCACCGGAAGAAAACCCAGCGCGTTCGTATTCTTCTTCTTCCGCAATTTTGGATGGCTCCGCCTACTGCACGGATTACGATACAGCGACACTACATTGCCGTAGTGGCGTACAGCCGCAATTGCAGTGACAAACGTCAAATCCACCGAGTACCGAGAAAACAAGTACTAGAATTTAGTCGGGAAGCGGAGGCGGCACGAAATTTGACCGACGCGGCCGCCTCCCAATTCTCTTTCTCTATGCAGGGAAAACCCTGCATAAAGGGAAATGCCTCGCGTCATTACTTGTTGAATATGTCTACTGAAGTAGTTGGTAGGTGGTAGAAAATAGAATGTGCTAGCAGATGTTGTAGTGGCTGCTATCCTTCATGCCCATTTCAGTCAATTAGTTTTTTTTTCTGTTGGCAATTTGAATGGTTTTGTATCTATCATTTAACCTCTTGAACATCATGTTTTCTGTTAGAAAGAAGTTAGAAAATTGATTTTTAACGTGACAGTTATGACCACATCATATGTACAGTATAATCAACGCTTTCTTCAAACCCAAGATATTTCTTTTATAGCTGCATTACATTGAACAACAAAAAAAATTCTGCATTTGTTGTAAATTGCTTTTTATAAACATTTGCCCAAAATCCAGCCTGACATCTTTTGAAACATTTGGATCGTGACCAAAGCTGCAACAACAACAGCAACAAAATGGAAACAGAAACATCTGACAATTAATTTCTACAAAATGTCAAAAAACTGTGAAAAGTCCAAGTTGACATATATTGCTAAAGGTCTAAAACACACACACACACACACACACACACACACACACACACACACACACACACACACACACACACTGAACATGTCAGTGCTGCTATGTAGACCTGGATCACTCCAAACCACTCACTCACTGTATTGCATATCTTTATTACTTTATCTGGCACAGGCCACTTTGTTACTATAAAACTTCTACAGTAAAGTCCTTGTGTATCTATTACATGATAATGTGTAGTATTTACAGCAACATTTTTTTTGTCAGTTGTCTTGTTTTTTTCTTTGTGTAGTAAAAATATTTATTATTTTATTGTCCAGCACTCTGGCCCTAGAGGAACATCTTTTCATTCTGTCCATTCTGTCTGTGTGACAATGTACAGTATGGTTGAAGTGACAGTGAAGCTTGATTTGATTTTGATTTGATTACTATGACATTGATATTTTTAAGTGAAAAGTGATTAATCAAATCACAATAGTTGCTATAGCCCGACTCATATAACGACTTATTATTTCTGCTCTGATCTTGACCAAGAGTGAAAATGTACAACGTGTGTCTGTGTGTTATTTGTAACTGCGGACCAGGACAGGGTTAATATTTAGTTGAATTAGTTTAATGTTCACGTAATTAATTGTCCTCCTTTCTCATCTCCCTCTCCCATGGTAAAAAAAAAATTCATTTGTCCTCCTTGTCTGTATTTTGCATTTCTCCTCTCTCACATATTGAAAGACTGTGAGGAAAGTGTACCAACAGAGGAGCCACGTAAGTTCAAGGATAGCTCACTGTGTGGCCGTGTTTGTGTATTTCTGTGCGTGGTGGGTTGTACCGCAGGTGTGCATGTTTGTGGACAATGCTAACAGTCTTGTCTGTGGGAGCTCCCAGCATACCACCTCACTTTCTAACTAGAACAGGATCCCTGAATGAAGACCGAGCCCAGGTGGAAAAGTAGAAATACCTTTCCAGTGGATTAAATCCCATGCTCTCCTCTCCTCTCCTCTCTTCTCCTCTCCTCTCCTCTCCCTTTCTTCTCTCCTCATACACCATAATTACAGCACCAGACAATTACCCAGCGTACTCCTGGGATGCACATTTTGTTCTCTTAATCTGGTGTTTTAAATAATTAAAACTAACCATGAACTCCTTTTTGTGAGTGTGGCTCAAGAGGGTTGTGTAGTGTGCGCATATCTGTGTGTGTATTCCTATTGGTTTGTTGTTTTGCTGTTTATAATCCGAAATCGCATGATGCCTTTCCTATCTACCAATAGTACTGACACAATCCCACCTACCTTGCTCCATGTGACCCAGAACAGATTTACCTTCACCAGTAACCTAAATACTATTGGTGCAATATTTTGTTTATGGAACAACCATGGTTCAGCCATACTTTACTCCGTCAGTGGTGTGATCACAACACTCTACCATAATCCCCTTCTCCATGCTTTACTAGCAGCATGGCAGCCAGTCATGGCAGACTATGTCATTGTTCACTTGGAAAAAGCAAACACAAAAAAAGAAACAGATGTTTCACATGTTTGTGGGTGATTTTCAAACAGCTGACATCTTTAAAATGAGTACAGTATTACAACTAGATAAATAAATAAAATACATCCAGACAACCTTTACATTCCATTTCACTTTCTTCCCTTCTTTATGTTGCACTCAGACACTGAACACGGACATTTAAATCTCATAATCTCACTGTAAATGAATTTTTGTATATCACACATACTTGTTGTCAGCAGTACTCTAAGTGCACACATTTGTGTAAATCTTGCCTTTGTGTGTTGATAATAATTCAGTGTTTCTGTCTTTATCAGCCAAAAAACAAGAGGAGGATCTGGAGGATAAGAAATCCATAAAGAAGAGAATTAAAGAGCTCAAGGTGCTCGATCCCAAGATTGCACAGAATCTATGTAAGTATTTGTTTCCTCTCAGCCCACTCCTCCTCCCAAGGACTGGATTTATACACATCCGCATTTTTTGATGCTACAGTGTACCGGACCTGTCTGTAGTTCTAGCCTCACTTTTGCCCTTCAATTCACTTAAATTACCTCCAGTATCCCATTTGTTCTTTGCATGTTATAAAGTGACGTAAAAGAGAAGTTTGGCAGCCAATGAGTTACACCTTTTTTTGCTGCTATAGTGATTATAGCAAGACAAACACTTAACCGTGAACTTGGCCACCGCTATCTGTGACTCACGTCTTCACACACACACACACACACACACACACACTGAGAAGATTAACGATGTTAAGCCTCCATTAAGGAAAGAACAAACGGGAGGAAAAATGCTCCTATGTATGATCACATTTATCTGTCTGTCTATCTGTCTGTCTGTCTGTCTGTCTCAAGCTCTCTTTACCTCTAACTTTCTCACTCACACTCGTGCGCTCGTGTGTGAGTGACGCCTGCTTGGTTTATAATGACCGTTTTAAAAGGATTCAGCATTAATGAGGAACCAGCTGATCTCTTAAGCACTCCCAGATCTTAGTTCCTCATTGGCTTATATCAAGGGGAGCTATGACCTTTGTTTCATGTATTAAAAGAAAATGAGACTAATCAGCCCAGTAACAGTGATAAATCATGCAGCGTAAATTATAGAGCGGGAATGAGGAGAGACGAGAAGGAGAGTCGGCAGTTTGTGTTCCACCATAGGAGGTAGAGGGACTAAGCTTTGATTGAAAATGAGTATGACTTAAGGTCTGTTGTTTGACTGATGCCAATACACTGAAAATATATTCAATTTCTATTGTGTTAAAATTTCCTTTTAGCAATAAAGGTACAGAGCTCACATTTTTACATGGAGAAGAGGGCCTAATTAGTCAGTCAGACTTTCACTGAATGTATGCAGTTATTTTTATCTTGAACTGTTTGAATACTGGCTCCCCCAAACTTTGCTTGAAGTCACTGCAGTAACTGTTGGTAGCAATGCATCTTAATTGTCTATTTGCTCTTAGTGATGTACTATAAAATCTGTCAAATGAGCCTGGAAAAGGAAGTGTAAGCCTGTTTTCGTTACCATGAATTTATTTCCTGGTTTTACTGTAAATCATATCAAGTTGATGTCTGTAACCCTCTTTACACCAGACTTGCTTAAATACAAAACACTTAGAAGCTAAGATACTTAAGTCATCACATTTTTCCTTCAGATTTTCCCAATAATATTTAAATTTCGCATCATCTGGCTCCTAGCCTAGTCACACATCTTTTAACTGTCAGGGCTTTTTTGACGGTTCCACTGGCTATACTAATGACAAGGAATTGCCATTCAGTCTCTGGTGGTACCACTTGTTCGAGGATCTCATGCTTGCTCAACCACTGTAATTTCTTAAATCACTTTTTGTAAAAACAGTTTTATGTCTGGCTGGCTTATGTATTGATGTATCTGTAATTTTATATCTCTTCGGCTCCTACTCTCAGTTCCCTTCTTGTGTCCTTGAGCTATTTTTATCTCACATCATTATTTGTTTTGTTTTTTATTTTCTTTTTGTTTCTTGTTATTAAATTGTATGACCTGTCATTCTTGAATCATTTTTTTATTTACCACAGCATTTGTTGCATCTTTTGTTTGTTTCTAGCCATCTTTCTTGGTTCCTTCCGTATGCCTTATCAGGAAATCCGTCGTATGATAGTGGAGGTGGATGAGGAGCAACTCACTGAACCTATGATCCAGGTAAGGAAAAACATTTCAGAGCTTCAGTTACTTATGTGACGCTAGTAGAAGACTTTGTTGGACAGACCGCCTAACTCTTATGTGCACGTAACCAGTTCTTAAATGGATAAGAATATTGGAAACTAGCTCAACTGACAATGTGCAAATGTTATTTTTAGTGCTGCCCTTCTCCTTCACAGTTGTTCAGGCTCATGCCTCAACTCTTGTTTGTTGCCTTGATTAGTTGTCTACCTTGAAATGGCATGCAGCCTCCTTTATCGCTCTGTCTCTCTCTCTGTCTGTCTCTCTCTCTCTCTCTCTCTGTCTGTTTCTCTCTCTCTCTCTCTCTCTCTGTCTGTTTCTCTCTCTCTCTCTCTCTCTCGGCTTGCATAAACTAGCAGTCTGTCTCTTTCTTTGTCTATCTGTCTGTCTGTCTGTCCGTCCGTCCATGTTGACTGAAGTTCTGAAGAAGTTTCTGCCTCTTGTTTTCCTTTGGTTTTGTTTTTACTTTATGACTTAAATTAGCTATTTTACTCCCACCAGTCCACACTCGAGTGAAAACATGGTTTTGATTTTTAATTTCACAAATTTATTCAAAATCAATAATTGAATTCTATAATTTAAGAAAAAGTATTCAGACCCATAATTCAGTACTTTGTGGAAGCCCCTTTGGCGGCAATTACAGCTTTGAGTCTCTACAAACTTTGCTCACCTGGATTTGGGCAGTTTATCCCATTATTCCTGACAGATCCTCTCAAGCTCTGCCAGATTGGATGGGAAGTGTCTGTGAACTCCCATCCTCAGGTCTCTCAACAGATAATCCATGGGTTTTTAGTTTGGGCTTTGTTGGGCCACTCAAGGGTAGTCTTACTTGTCCCAGCGTTTTCTTGGCTGTATGCTTAGGGTCATTGTCGTGCTGAAAAGTGAACTGTCACCCCAGTCTCCCTCGTCCCTGTGGCTCAGAAGCACCCCATAGGATGATGCTGCCACCTCCATTCTTCACCATAGGGATAATAATAGCCAGATGGTGAGCAGCGCCCGGTGTCTGCCAGACTAAGTGTTTGGAGTTCTGCTTAAAAGCTCCACTTTTTGTTTTATTGAACCAGAGAATCATGTTCTCGGGGTGCTTAAAATGCATGCATACATTTCTCTTCTGACTCGAGCGGAACGCTGTTATGGAGGGTTTGAGCCCTGCCAACAAATGCCCTAGTAACCTCTGTCTCCAGCTTGGCCCTGGGAATAGTCAGCAACAACTGGTCAGTAGACCGCAGGCTACTAACAGGAGTGTAAGGACAGAGAAGGTCAGCTGTGTAGGATGGGGCAAACAAGCAAGGAAACTTTAAAATCAATTCTGAAGGACACAGGTAACCAGTGCAGGGAGGCTAGAACGGTGAAATGTGCTCCAATTTTCTAGTTTTTGCCAGTACCTTTGCAGCCATATTTTGTACAACTGACCTCTAGGGCAGTCCAGCAAACAACAGTTACAGGCTTAAATAGCTCTGATCAAAGGTATGAATAAGTGTACCATAAGCATACAGTCTACATTCCTCAAGCTAAATTTGAATCAGCTTATAGATGACACCAAATATGTAAAGAGATGGTGGCTTGTGTGCACTAGATGTTGAGGAAGTTGACTGGTGCATTTAAGGACTTGTTTTACTGACTTTTATCGGTCGGCGTGTGGGTAAGCTGAGCTGAAACAAATCAGCAAAAACAAATCTGAGCTTCGGCTGTACATTTTAAAGAATTCATTCAATCAATAATTGTTGATTACAACACGCAAATAATTAATGGTCATTAAGGCAAATTCCATTATAGTGCATCAATAAAAACTCAAGTAATGGAAGTGGCAATATTTGTCCTGACTCCAGGCATCAGGAACAGATTTTCAACCCAATTTAAATGCATTAGACCAATATATTTACCACACTACAGAAGTATTTGTTGAGATGGCTGTTACATTTAAATGAGAGGGCAATTAAATCAATGTGGCTTAAATATTTTAGCATTTATTCCTTTTGGTTGTCTTGAAAAAAAAAAAAAAAACCCCCAATCACAATTTCACATTCAATTGTCTATAAACATATACCTGTATATAAACCTAAGAATATAATACTATATTTTATAGTAAAAGCCATTTTATTGCAGTTACAAAACCTTAGAAGCGAAAGTCACCAACAGCACTGAAAGTCACAGCAAATAGAACAGCAGTAGGTTGGATTTCTAAACAAACACAGCACAAAGAATGGTAGTCCTAAGGCTCATTCTAAATTAAATTGAAAGAAAACACCACATTGCTCTTCAAGCATGGACTGTGGGCAACTACATTGTTGTTGAAACCTAGATATACAGAGCCCAAGGGTGAAAAGGGTTTAATTTGACCTGATTACGTTAATTTTGGACACTTTAAATCATTATATTTTGTACATGTTTAAAAAAACTGAAGCATGAACATGAGGAAGATATACTGTAGTAACCAAGTACAATTAGTGTAATTAAATGTGTCAGTCATCATGACATTATCACCACAAGGCTATTTTTGAATAAATGTGTACCAGTTGCTTTCCCTACTCTGCATTCCTCCGTGCTGCTTCTCACTCCCTTTCTTCCTCTCTCCTTTTTGTAGAATCTTGTAAAGCATCTGCCGGAGCAGGAGCAGCTGAACGCCTTGGCCAAGTATAAAAATGAGTACGCAAATTTGTCAGAGCCTGAGCAGTTTGGGGTTGTGGTGAGTACACACAATCGTACACAAACATGCACACACAAAATTCTCACCTCCCCACCAGCTGGGTACTGTGTAGCTCTAACACCATGTGCAGGTGTATCACAAACAATATTCTTCTGTGTCGCTGAGTTGAAATTCAATGTATAATGAATACAGTGGTTTAACAGAACAGAAATATGCATACACAGTTTTATAAAGCTAGTTTATTACCATCTTAATGTTATAGTAATGTAAACTTTTCTTGTATTTGCATCATATCTTTCCCTCAGCACTTCTCTTCCCTTTCTAAACGCAATCACACACACACACATACACACAAATTGAGCACTTTCATATGAATATCCTAATCCTGAGCTTTTTAAAATTCTATCTTTTTAAGCCTTAAGAGGAACGACAGGACACCTGTGGACTCCTGTGCTAATTTATGCACATTAAAGAGCAGCTCTGCTGCCTAATTATGTCTGCATCGTTTTCTTAAATACTTTTCAAAAGAGGTTTATTCAGAATTATGCATGAGGAGTGTAGCACTTTTTGTGTATTTTGTGTTTCTGCCTAGCAACTAACTTACTCACAAAACATGCCATAATCTTCATTTGCCCCATGCACCCACCTGTTTGTAATCACCCATGAAAGAAGTCTTATCATTGAATGAAAATGCAGTTACTGCGCGGTAGATGAAGGGGGAGGGTTGAGCATGAGCATGCTCAGCTGTTGTGTATAGTTCATCAGGGAGACATAGAACAAAGAAGAGCATGCTTATATAATGTTTTTTTGCTGCTGTGCCTGCCTGGGCCCAAGGAGGCCTGTGTGCTTTCACCTATCAGAAAAGCTCATGTTCAAAGGGAATTTTTAATTTACCGTTGAGCAAACACAAGCATTTTATCTTTTATTTTTTCCGATATCCGCCATTCTCACACTTGATTTGAACTCCACCTTGTGTGTATTGTAAGCAATAGATTGGATCGCATTAAAAAAGCCCTTAAAGTGCTTTGGACACAATGCCAATGTAGACATTTAAAGTGTCTTTCTGCAGCTACACAAATAAGTTAAAAGAAATCAAAAGGCAAAAAAGTTCTCTATCTTCCAACAGGGTATTAATTTCCATGCATCGCCATGTTATTAGATTAAAGGATATTCTAATGAGTTTTACACTAGTCAACTTCATGCAGCACAGTAGCTTTTATTGCTGTATCAGTTGAGCTTGCTGACTTACAGACTTCCAGGCAACCTCTGGCCTCAGCTGTAGCCACAGTTCTTGTTACTGGCACTTCTTTGAATTAAAGTCTTTCATTGAGGACTTAAATTGTTGTTGACACTCTACATAGACTTTTATTACAAGTTGCCAAATTATTTACTCTAATTAAGTTTTTAGTTTTGTCTGTGTATATGTGAGGGTATTTGTGATGATTTGTTTATCTATTTATTTTATTACATTTTCTGCATATTTGTGTTAAGGACTCCCTTGAAGATGAGATCGTTTATTCAAGGGGTTTATCCTACTAATACGTGTTGATATATTTGTTTTTACACTATATCATGCATCATTTTGAAATACACTGTTTTTAATCTTGATAATATGAAATAATAGGAATTCTGCAGTATGTCAACAGTTTACCACCTCACTGAACTCTGCCATACACACACTATATTTTCCATAACTTCTTTTCTATAATCCATTTTGTTATGTTGTTCTTTTGTTATGTGTTGAACCCCTTCCATGAAGTTGTAAATAATATCTTCCTCAGCTCAATTTTGTCCAACGCCCGTCATAGCCTTCATGGAAACAACAGCTGTACACATTCACTCTGAAGGCACCCTGGTGCATTTTCTTCCTTTCTTCTCCCCCTGATTATTATTTCGTTAATAAAATATCCTTTTCACACAATTTACCTCATCATAAAGCGTTTCAGCTTTCTGTGTGGTTCTTGTGCAACTTGCCTTTCCCCAATTTTGTCTTATTCCTCCCCTGCCCTGTTTCCTCTCTCTGCTCTCCTCTCATACAAACACACACAGAACACGCACACACGCTCACTCACTCCCCGACTGAAATAGTCATTTGATAACATTACAGTAGCTATAATTAAACCCTTGATGGAGGACATCAAACTGCACAGCCAGCTGTTGTGTGAAACAGACAATTGGAACCTGCGCCCTCCCCACCACCCCACACACATACACAATCACTGTTGTGGCCAGGCTCTGGGCCCAATGCAATATTTTCCAATTTTCTCTAATTGTGTGAGAGTGGTAATCCAAGGCAGCCTATTGTATATTCCACCCCCTCCGCTGCCTGCCCTATATGGACACTAACTCCACAATTAACTTACCAGACCTGGGTCCCAAATCAAATCACTGCCAGCATCTATTACTACTGCCTAGCAACACTTTCTAGCATGCTGGTTGCATAAATGTCTTTTAAATTAGATTGGCTAAATGTGAGAGTGTGCCAAAAGTGTGATTGTAGTTACTTAAAGTTTAACTATGTTCTTTGAATTTCTTCTCTATGTCTGACATACTTTTCCTTACTCTTGTTTTTCTCCTCTCCTGCTTTATCTTCTCTATAATCCCCTTTTTCATATTATTCTGTCCTCCTTCGTGCTTCCTTGTTTCCTCCGTCGCTCTTCCCCTCTCCTAGATGAGCAGTGTGAATCGGCTGCGTCCTCGCCTCAGCCACATCCTCTTCCGCCTGCAGTTTGAGGAGCAGGTAAACAACCTGCGTCCAGATATCCTGGCTGTAAACGCCGCCTGTGATGAGGTCAGGAAGAGCTGCTCCTTTGGCCGCTTGCTGGAGCTGGTGCTGCTGCTGGGGAATTACATGAATGCAGGCTCTCGAAACGCACAGTCTTATGGCTTCGACCTCAGTTCCCTCTGCAAGGTGAGGGTAAAATGCTGGCCTTATATCAGCTGTTCACATACAGTATGTAGACCCTTATCCATCCACTACCAGTGGTTCAACATGAGTGATGAATGGTTAACAAAAAGCTCATGAGATAATCTTTTTCCATACATTTTACAGTTGTGTTTGCAATTGGAGTTTAGTAACAGCAATTGTGTCGTTTTTAAAATTTATCATAGTAAATCAAAGTTTGATATGAAGACCATGTACAAACTGAATAGAATGTTTTAGATCCCTGCATGAAGTGTGCCTGCCAGGTTTTTCTCATTCTGAATCACTCTCATCACTTCTCATTACCGCAGGCTCTGATCATATGGGTTCAAAAACCTCATATGTTTAAATGCTCATTTGCAATATGCATATCCACAACAAAAAAGTAGTTTTTAGACTAGAAGACAATGTTTAGTTTAGAGGACAGATTCAGTGTTTTGGATGACTTTTGTGTGCAAATGTAAGGTGTGTTGTGCTTGTGTGAGTGTCTGGGTTAACATATCTGATCATATCTACACTTGTTTGTCTTTTTGCATGAAAGAGTGAGTGTTTTTTTTTTTTGTGTGTGTCACTTTGGCTGAGCCCTATCAGTGAACTCATCTAAAGTGGCTGCTGTGATGAGACACTGTGTTTGAAACTATTTCATTTGATTGAACTCTATCAGCCCCACAAGACAGTTTTTCTCTCTATCTGCTGGCATCTATCAAAGCAGACAAACTCAGGGAATACTTTATTCTCATTCTCCTGCTCAGAATAGATAACTGGCTATGGCCAGTATCCCTTTGAAAGTTCACACACCCTGCATGACTGCCCAAGCTTAGTGGGGCAGAGACATAGCAAATGCCCATACCTGTGGAGTTTATATGGCATGAAGACAGAACAGTAGGATTTCTTGTATGATAGTGATGGTGACAGAGAACAGAGTGTGATCCTGGAGTGGGAGACTCCTCCAGTGGTTACATTACAGCTGGTGGCACACTCACTGCAGTTTCCACAGTAACAACCACTGCAGCCATTCATCACTGCCACATCTCTGCCCTGTGAGACTTAGGTGCTTATTTTCATATAAACACCACTGCATGCGTATGCACAAATGTGGATTTGCTGCATTTACTTGACAGTAAAATAATCGATAAATTAAAGTATGAAGGAATAGGTTTTGTGTTTAGTGCATTTCTAATGCTGCTGTTCCAGTGTGTGTTATGTTTGTGCTCGAATGTTGGAGGACCAAGGTGTGCATTGATGTCAGAGGCAGGACACACAGAGGAAGACATCACCTTCATGCCTGTTCCCGAGTTTGACAACTTAATTCCATGGCACACTCCACAGCGCAAGAAAATTGCACCCAGCCCAACTGGAAAAAGCAAAATGTTTACATTGTCAACTATGATTACCATCCATCTAAATTCAGAGAGGGACCTTTTGTGAGTGAGCACTTGAAGCTTTTGGAAAAAAAAAAAGGGAAAACAGAAATGAAAAGAGAGATGAGAATGTTTGATTAGAGGAGATAATACAAACATGATTAAACCCAGCGGGGCTGAGTGCACTGCTGTCTACCAATAGATCACCTAGAGAGATACACAGCAACGCACTCCACAGGAGGGATGTTTGGCGGGGATACTGAGAGACATCTTGGAATTAGACTGTAAAAGAGCGATGATGGAAATTTATCAGAGAAATTGAAAAATTGTTATGTGTGGGGGAGAGAGGCACGAAGCGCAGGAGAGGTCATGACATTGTGAATATGCTTCCACCGCATGAGTACGAGACATGAAATCATCTGTAGCACTGTCAACCCTCAGCATTTATGAAGCTACTGAAAGGGTTTACAGTAGCTGAATGAGGACAATGACGCATGCTCCTATGTCACACAACATCCCACAGATATGGTTATAGAACAATATCTGCTGATAATTCTCTACTGTGGCACAAAGACTTTGTTTTTAAACTAAGATGGACTCTACAAATTTATGCACAAATAAGAATTATATTTTGTTTGTTCATTTAGTAAAAGAACAGCAATACTTGTTAGGCTTAGCCTGTGACATCTGAAGTAACAAGCAAAGTCTGAGATACCGCTGCAAATATCCTCTCCCTGTCCCTAGTTGATACAGTTAATCCTGTATTGAGACTAAATTAGCTGAAATAAATGTCATCTCTTAATGCCATAGGTCTTTGTATATAACTATACTGTATGTTTGTGTATGTGTGTTCTACTACAGCTAAAAGACACAAAATCAGCAGACCAAAAGACCACATTACTCCACTTCCTGGCACAAGTGTGTGAGGAGGATTTTCCAGATGTGATCAAGTTTATTGAAGAACTGGAGCATGTGGACCGAGCTAGCAGAGGTAATATACATTATTACCCATATACACAATCTTACACACAGATGGACACAAAGTTAGGACATCTTAACAGTTTAACATTACGTTTACCTCTTACTCTCTCTGCGTCAATATCACAGTGTGATTGTCTGTTATTTTGGATTGCTGTGTGTGTCAACTTAGGTTCTTTAGCTTTCCCAGCGCACAGGGAGTTTCATACACTCGCTCTCATATCAACATCCCTTGCAATATTTTCCACTGGTCTTACAAATGCTAAATTAGTAACCAAATAGTTGGACCGTATTTTGAGCCAACAAAAGGAATACAAACACAAAAGTATGTTTCTTTTTTTTTTCCTCTATGTTTTACAGCTTTGTGTGACGAACAAAAGCCTCTTTAGCTTCGAGTTAAAGAGAGAAAAGCCTTTTATGTTATCTTCTGTTCAGCATGTTGTTTAGACAACTGAGGGCATGCTATTAAAACTGCAAACTAAATAATATTTTAGAAACTTTCAAACGCTTTGGCCCCTTATTTGATGTTGACCATTAAGCACTATCGCTTGACTTACTGTAAGCAATGGCGATTGTATGGTCAGTGGCAAGAGGTAGGTGATTGGACAGGTGAGCCTAATGAAAAGATAATGAGCTGTGTGGGTTGTCCAGCTATATAAAGTACTGATATCAGGAACTTAATCGCATTTTAACATTGTGTCATTTCACATCACTTAAGTTAAGCCTCCATCAAAACAAATTACTTTCACCTGAGAGACTGAGTTCAAGAACACTGCACCCACATACAGTAGTAATGTCCAGCATGAAAAGGTGGTTCAGTCATCAACAGAGTAAAAACATTATATTATATTACAATAGATAGATAGATAGATACTTTATTTATCCCCTGGGGGAAATTCATATTTCCATCAGCTCATTGTTGATAATATTAATAATAATAATAAAAACAGTTAATAATAAATAAACAATAATAATTAGGTTAGTCCACTTCCTTTGGCCGAGTTGTTGTATAGCCTGATGGCAGTGGGAACTCCTGAACCTCTGTGTTCTGCAGCGCAGTGAGATGAGACGTTTGCTGCACCTGTAGCTGCTTCTCTGTCCTGCCAGAATGTTGTGGAGAAGATGGTTGCTATTGTCTAAGATGGCCTCCATCTTACATTGCATGCGTCTCTCCACAACAGTCTTGAGTGAGTCCAGACTCTTGCCAAGCACAGACCCAGCCTTTTTCACCAAATGTTGTTTTATTACTGTTACATATAATAAGCAATAGATATGAGAAATAGTTTTTCATATTTGCTTGTTTTGGATGTATTCGAACAGAGATCCAGTCATTAAATTATATGGTTCAGAGAGCTTAATGCATAAACAGAACTGCCTACCTAGACAATGTTTTCACATAGACAGAAATGGAACATTCTTTTTCTGTATTCCTCTGTTTTACTTTGAGCTTCACTCTTACCTTTCTACTTTTGTAACTCTCTGGGGATTATTCTGGGATTAGATGCTTGTTGATTCTGTAAACACGCATTGTATTTTACCAGCTTGGTGTTTGATCTTTGCTACACTCTGCTCGTCTGCACTGCTGTTTGATACTAACATTAATCTTCGTAGCACATCTACAGAGTTATAGGTTCATTTTTCAAGAGAATAACTCAGGTCAGTGCACTGTTTTAGATGTAGCTTAAGTCTCTGTGCTGATTTAACACTAATTGGCTGCTTTCTTGATAATCCGAGGCACATGTGCACACACAAATATGCACACACAATCTAAGTTTGGCCAGTTTATCTGGAGTATGGTGAAGGTCACAGGCAAGTGGGAAGAGACTGGGTGGTCAGAAGAGACTTGGTCATGTTCTTTGTTCTTTGTGTGCGTGCGTGCGTGCGTGTGTGTGTGTGTGTCTTTGCAACTATATGCATGTGCGGTCGTATTGTCACAGCACGTTTGCTACTCCAGAGAAGATTTTACCCACTGCTCTGGTCCCAGCAGGAGGGAGTGAAAAAAAGGGTGAGGAGGAGAAAACATAGTGAGGATGAAATATGTGACTTTATTGTTTTGACTCCTCCTTGTAAGAACCCCTCCAGGTTTTGTTGGTGCTTTGATAATCTGTTGGATAATGATGCTCCTGTTGAGTGTTTCATTTCTGCCACCTGTGCTGTTTGAGTGTCCACAAGCCCTGGGCCAAGACTCATAGGTACAAGGATGCGATCAATGGGAAGCACAATCCTTGGATCTCTCTTCAGGCTTTGTCCATGTCCTTACTTCATGGATCTCAAGCTGTGTGTATACTCTATTCACACCTAGATATAGTCCTCTTTTTCCATCACTGTCTTTCTCTGTGTTGTTGTGCCATTAAGAGATGCATACACTAAATGTGTCATCTCTCCATATCTAGTGTTCAGACACACAAATCCCATTTCGTCTTTGTAAGCCATGCTCTTGAGTGACTTCCTTTTCATCAGGTCTGACAGCCATTCGGGAGGCCTGAAGACACACTAAAAGGCTGCATTACATTCATAGACATTCACCAAAGAGCTTACTTGAGCATGAAAACAAGGTTGGATAGAGGTAGCAGTAATGATTTGCGCTTCTCTCGCAAAAGCTGCTGTCTTTTGACTGTGTGTAACACAGCCCTCGTTTCCCCATTGCCAATCTCGCCTCTCATGGAAGCAAAACTGCAGCTTAGTTCAGGGTCCTTTTGTGTCTGTCTTCTTATTTCTGCTCCCCTCTCTTCTTTTCAGCACTACAATCATCATTTCTCCTGACATGGAGAAGCAGTCCTTGTGTACTGCTCCTCTCTTTCTGTGTATCTATCTGTCTCTCTCTTTCTGTCTGTCTTTCTTGTCTGTCTCTCTGTCAGGTTTTGTGGTTTATCTTCGTCTTGCTCCCTGTCCCTTTCCTGTATTTCTATTCCTTTTGTCCCTCATCACAAACACACGCACGATACACACGGGCACGTTTGAGCAGTTTGGCAGTTGGTGCTAAGTTCATGGGGAAATCAGACATGGAGACATACAGTAACCAACCAGGCAACCAGGTTACTTCAGCGTGTAACTCTGCTTACTTGGAAAGCTTTGCGTAATACTAAATAGACATATAGACAAATAGACCAAGCAGTCTTGGTTCAGTTTCTGTTCATGGCTTGGGGCCCTGAGGAATAATTACAAAGTAATGTGAGGTTTCAGCTTAATTGAGATGGTCTTCTGATATGCGGCTCGAGCCTTACTTTGTAGTTAAGCTGTATGCAGTATGAGTGATGAACCTCAGGTTGAAAGAATATAGAATGAGCCTCTCTACAGTGCAAATTCAGTGACCTTCATGCTCTCCATGCTCCCTTTGTATGTAGTGGGTGCTCAGCACATTGAGTGTGGGCACACTTTTTTTTTTTGCATTACAAGTCTCTCGTTTCCAGCCCTCGCCACCATCAGTCTGGTCACACTTGTCTGTCAGGCTTTGGCCTCAGAATGCACATCTGCGTGTTTTCAGTCTCCTAATTTCCATACATCAAAGGATGATCTATAGTGGATCTCTACGTGGAGCCGGGCTGTTTGTGAGTGAGCATGCATGGTTGTGTGCTCCACTCAGTCTCATTTATAGCACAGCAGGTTGGCAGAGTAATAAAAGGATGTCAATGGGGGATTTGACCTCTACAAATATTGCAATTATTATTCTGCTAAAACATCCTATATCTGCAACCCCTCTGGACCACAGACGCGTTCAGGCCCTGCTGCTCATAAAAATCGCTCACGTTTTCACACACTGGAAGAAAAGGCAAGGGAGAACAAGGGAAACATAGAAACGCCCTTTCCTTTTTTTTATCTCCCACTCTGCTTTTCACCCTACAATAGAGCAATTATTCCACAATTCTTAAGAGTGTGTTTGTATAAATATATATCACATTTCTGTGTGTTTCACTAAACATTCCAGCTGCTGTACTCATACTACTGATCATTCCAAGGCAGATACTCTCTTGAAGCATATGCCTCAATTTTTGTCACCTGCACATCTCCTCTTGTTCATATGCCCTTCCATGTGAGGGATCCTCATCACAAAAGCCTCCAGTTTGGATTGTGAAGCTAAAAAAAGAGAAAATCCCAATTTGTTTTGCTCTCTGTCTCACCCGTCCTTGCTATTTTCTCAGTCAGTGCATCATCACTAGGTTTTAATCGTGTCTATTAACAGACTGCCTGTCTGGCTTCCTTCCACTTCTGCATGCTGCCCACACCTCATTCAACAGATTTTGGTTGCTTGGTTATGCAGAAGGCTTTTACGAAAAAGAGACAAAGATTGAAATGGAAATGATACAGCAGGTGAAGTGTCAGTTTCTTGATTGTTTACTAAAATGTCTTTTTCAGGGCTCTAGAGACACTTTTTACATTGATTGAAATGGTTCGACTTTTTCATTTAGGTGCACCCAAAATTTTTCACCACTCGTTTTGGTTCTGCAATAATATGTTTTAGCCATGGAAAATAGACAAGTTATTCTCTGCAAAAGGCATGTACAGTACTTGGCCATCTTGCATGTTATAGGGCTCTGAGTCAGGCCTATATTACCTTTAAAAAAAGATTAAAATTAGGTACACACATATAAATTATATGAAAATCATGTGCATAATTTTCACATTTGGATTCCAACACTTAATTTTCACTTCACTTAATTTTACTATCTTTGTAGTTTAACTTTTTTAATTTGTTAACTTTTTGTGAAATATAAGCAGTTTCAAGTAATTTAGAAAAGGCCAGAGTTTATTTAATCACAGATACATTAAGATTTCATTTATTGGTATTGATTGAACAAAAGTTACTAGATTCTGTGTATAGGATTTGTGTTTAAAAAGAAACAAACTGTAACTTATAAATAACCTAATTGCTTTCATTGTTTCTGAAAAAAACAAAATCATCATGGCTCCTCTGCATGGGGATATTATTATTCTGCTTTCTTTTTGTAGTGCAGCAGATTGGCAGGGTGATTTCTTAGCATAATAAAAATCATCCAGTCACTCCGGAGCAGTTGCTCGGTGAATACTGCTCTGATTGGTCACAGTGGTCACAATGCACTTTTACAATATTTTTAAAGGAATGGTGTGCTGTGGGATTTTCAGTGCCTTCGACTGACCAACTATTAGTGTCAGTGCTTTACCATAAAAGACGGGGAAGGAGAGCACAAAAAAGGAGTGGGAAAAGAGAATGAAGATAGGCAGAGGTTGGTAAGAGAGAGAGAGTTGAAATAGGAGAAAGAAAATATGCAATGAGTTAAAGGAATTGATGTGCGAATTATTTGTCAGGTACAGATACAGTAGATGTGCTTTTGTGGATGTTATATGGTGATTTTTTTTCCCACTTACTTTGTTACTGCTCTTTGTTTGGCCTTCTTTCTCAATCATCATTGACAGCAGAATGAAAAGTGCCACCTGACTTTTCCTCTCAGTCAGCTGAATGTATGAATCTTTTCTCTGCACATTCACACGCTCACCTTAACCTGCTGTGAAAAGAACATACGCTCCATTTAACTTACAATTTAAAGAGAAGTTGGACAACTCCAGCTACTGGAGACTTTATAATTTGTAGTTAAGATGTCTGATTGAACAAGCATGTTAGTGTGTGTGCGTGTGTGTGTGTGTCCAAAATAGTATGTTCCCATCAGTAAATGAGGTTTATGATATAAATGCAATGAAAAGCTTAGCTACATTTAAGTTCTTTCTCTCGTTTTTTCTTTTTTTTTTCGCAACGCATGTATTAGGATCAAGGGGAAATTTGAAACTACTTAAAAATAAGCAGCTTATGCCTTTTTGTCAAGCAGGGTCTAATCAGGGTAATTTAAGCCATATGCTATATTCAGTGACTAGCTTAAAGTGTCAGCCATGACCACCTTAACAGAAAGTTAGGCTCAGTGTTCTCTTGCTCTCCCACCTGCATGATCAATGCACCTGTTGATAAGACTATAGACAAAGGATGAAGGGCATGGAAAGATTTCAGCATCCTTCTTCATACTTTGAGGCTGCAGTATTCAATCTGTTATTCTGTTTGTGTTACTGAAAAGCCACACATAGTGTAAATACATGAGAAGATATGGCAAGCGTATGCTTTCACTACAGTATGCGTGCCAGTAAGGGCATTGTATTCTTACATGAATTTAATTGTTTATGACATACACATGAACATATAAGAGGCAAACACTGAATGTACCTTTGCTTGATGTTTATTTTCCTCACTCGTTGTTTATTCCCACGGTGTTTCTGGCAGAGTCTGAACCCATAATAAGCATGCTTTGCAACTGAGCTGGCTTCTCTCTCCTTTTTCCTGTTTCTTTTTTTTTCTTTTCATTTGGATGTTTTTTTTCTCTGATTCTCTCAGAGCATCAAAATGATAATGCATCTGATTGTACCTGTAATTGAGTTGTCCTCTCTCTGCTTCTTCCTTCACATTTCCATGCGGGGGTGTTCCTCTGTGCTGTTACAAATGTGTGCGTGTCTTGATATATGTGGGTGTGTGTCAGTGTCTGCAGAGAATCTGGAAAAGAGTCTCAGGCAGATGGAGAGGCAGCTGCTGCAGCTGGAGAGAGACCTGGAGACTTTCTCCTCCCCCGATGACCCCAACGACACCTTCTTCACTAAAATGGCTATATCCTTTTATAAACACAGGCATTTACTCACCAGTCCACCACCAGTATTCAGTGAGTTTACCGTAATGAATCAATGTGAATGTTTTTATGTTTGATGTTTTCATTTTTTACTGTGGTGCTGGCAATAGAACAGGTTTTTCATACCTGAACACATTACTGAGCTGGTGGTATAAAAGGAAGGAACTTTGAAGTCTTTGGTTGATCAAATGCCCATTTTTGTAAGACTTTTGTATCTAGCACCTAGCTTTGTAAAAGTTACTCTATCCCCCTCCTCCAAAATTGATTTTTTTCACTACTTTGTTTACCTAAGGATTGTCCATAGCACATTGTCAATCGCTCAGGAAAATAAAGAGTAGAGGTACAATATGGTGTTAAAAAAAAAAAGAATGGAAGGAGTGGAATGGACAAAGATAGTCCTCCTACTCTTTTTCCTGTACACAAGGTTTTCCTGCCACTGTCCATGATGTGTTCAAGTCATGAGTGGCACCCCATTCCATAGTCAAGTTATTGTAGCAGTACCCCTCTTAGCCATCTTTTTGAAAGGTACTTCACACTGAGGGCAGCTTCAGAATGAAGGGAAGGGTTAGAGAGGGAGAACTGGGGGACAGAGACTCCTTTGTTGCTCTGTCACTGTCTTCCTCTCTCATCACGTGAGTCATTGTGTGTTCATGGAGATAGACCGGGAGAAATTTGACATGGTTTACTCAATTGTCAGTTTATGATAATTAAGCAAAAAAACGCTAGTTCACAAACACATAAATACACAATTTCTCTATACTGTCTCTATCTCTTCACTGCCCTCTTTCCATATCCAGATTGTGTACTGACAGCTGTCAGATATGTCTCAGACCAGGTGTGCACCAAGTATTCAATAATACACCCTGTACCTAGCCTACTTCATGTAGTTTTGATCAGTAGCCTTGGGGCTTGGGGCACTGATGGCTTGTGTTGTGGTAGTTAGCAGAGGACCTGAGTGCAGCACAGTAAGGTTCAGTGAGAATGGATTTGACAGGTCTGTCTTTCACTGCTTTGCCTTCCAATTCCAGTTGCCTTGCACAAAATGTCTTATAGCAAAGCTGATTAAAAACTCAAACATCAACATAAAATTTGAAGATGAAATGTAGATAAAGTTACACAAGTGAAACACTAAGCATCAGGGATGTAATTTCCAGCACTACAAACACACACACTTGCTGTTTAGGGCTTAACTGTGTCACTAACAAATATTTGGGCTTAGGCTGCTCAGATGTCATATTCACCCCAAGACCATCCCTATGCAAACCTCACACGCTGCACTGTGGTCATATTTTTGGGACTTTAATCTGAATGCACACAATTCAACAGAAAACTTTTCTGTTGACTGGTGCTTTTGTTGGCCGAGACAGCAGAACCACAGCAGTTTTGATTGATAGGCCAAATAATGGTCACAACCTGTATTTACAATCTGGACATGAGTTCTGAGCATCATGACATGCAGTATTGACTCAACATATATGTGATTTGTACATGGGTTTGTAATTGTATTACATATTGTTGTTTAAGTTTCATTTGAATTTATTTTGTTTCACTGAATAAAAAAAAAAAACTAACCAAAAAGAAAGAGAAAAAAATGACAAAATACAAAAATCAAAACCAAAACAAACTGAGTACTAAGCTCCTCACCAAAGCCTCTTAATCTGATTTTGAACCTGATATCTTCACTGATCTATTCTATAAATTTGGTTTTTAATCAACATGAGAAAGCCATGTTTGTATAATCAAGCTCTTTAAAGTGAATTTAGACTTGTTGTATCTCACATTAGTGACTACTGATCATTAATGAATATGGACTCAGTTAAAGCTATAAAGATTCCAGGTCATAGATTATCTAAATGTAACAGAGCAGAGTGAACAGCATAGGGTTTCACTCGACAGTCACTTACAACAAATGAAATATACAGTCACCAGCTGAACATGAGAAGCCTGGAATATCACATTGATGACATTGAAAATTCCATTTTCCCTTCATGGGACACCTGAGTATACAGTTATTGTTTAATTGGTCTAATGTTACACTTCAGAATGTGAATTTAGCTTGTAAAGGCGACAAATTTAAGGCAGGAGAGAAACAGGAGGATAAAGAGCAAATGAAGAAATAAAGAACTTGAGAAGGAACTAAGATGGAATTTGGGAACGGTGAAGGTCTTTAAGAAATTAAGAGTGAACAGGAATTCTTGAGAATGAGCAGCAGAGGACCTGTGGTTTCTCTGGAAAAGGGAAGAAGTCAGGAGAGAGGGAACATGATACTTATGAACCTTGGCTGTCTGCTTTTTTTTTCTTTTCTCTCTCTTTTGCTTTCCATCACCTACTCAGGCTATCCTCATGCCTCTTTCCTCCAGCTCCTGGCCTGGAAAGATATTACTGACAAGTCAATCTGGGAGCAGTGCCTATTGAACAGCATTTACCCAGCTGTGAATAGGTAGTCCCATCCCCAGCCAGATTCAACTGAGGCCAGACCTCAAATAGGTCCATCAATTGAGCTATAATGAAGGGGCACAATAGGAGCCAAAGAGGCTTCCCACATCCTTGTGATACCACACACACACACGCGTACACTCAGACACTGTTGCTTCTTATCTCCCATGAGACAAAGATGTTGGGGTCATTAGCAGGCCTGCTGGTCACAGACACATCATTTTCTTTCTTCTTTTTTCTAACATATTGGTCCACAATCTCCCATAGGAGTTCAACTGGGTTGAGATCTGGTGACTGTGAAGGCCATAGCATATGATTCACACCATTTTCATACTCATCAAACCGTTCAGTGACCCCTTGTGACCTATGTATGGGGAACATTGCCATATATTTCATATGATAGAAGTAGAGGGAGACTTTGACCTTTGTACCGTTTAAGGTTGCTCACTGGACTTGAACTAATTCTATTTATATTTGCAGTTAATATTGTGCATGTCAGATACACCAACGCATATGGCCAGCAGCAGCCAGACATGAGTCGCAGGGCTGCAGGGGGTCATAGCAGTGAACCTGACTGACAGTATCAGAAGTCCTAACATCATGGTTTACCACTGACAGTCTGCTCTCCAGCTTCAGATCTTTGCAGCAACAAATGTTAATGCTTTCCTGTTTTGCTGTCAAATAGTACTTGCAGCAACATTTAATTTACACTTAATGTAAGATGGACCAGTTGTTGACCTTGACCACATCCTCACAGCTTCAGCAAGGTTGCACGGGAGCAGTATGGCAAGCTGGTGATCATGCACAGCAATATGGAGACGCTATATCAGAATGTGCTGGAGTACTTTGCAATCGATCCCAAGAAGACCTCTGTGGAGGAGCTATTCACTGATCTCAGCAACTTCCGTTCCATGTTCACTGTGAGTATACCACATTAACATGTTACTGTGAATCTTCACATTTGATTGAAATGGGGTGATGGATGGTTGATTCTCAGTTGGATTGGCAGTTTTTATTTTGTTGATGTCAAAAGAATGATCATTAATGCACTGTTAAACACATATAACACTTCACCAAAAATGTGATAATGTGTTGGCTGTTTAAAGAAAGAAGTGAAATGTTGGTAAATAGATACATTAAGCAACGAGACGAACTAAACAAAGAGATCTTTGTGTCTTTTATCAGCTAATAATATAGTTTGTAATATTTGGAAAAAGAGTCCTTATATAAACATTTCTGGCCTATGGAAACATTTAACTGCATCAAAACCATTAATAAGTTGGAATTTATTGTTGTCCATTAAGTAAAACTTAAGTAAAACGTGTTTTGAAAACTTGGGTAGGCGAGACATGTAAAATGTTGGCTTGAGTATTGTGTTAGCCTTGAGAAGAGCTGCTGTTAATCTTAATCTAAAAAAAAAAAAAAAAAGGTGCATGTTTAGAAATTGTTTTGAACTTTTACTGTTTTTATTCATAGGCTGTATAAATACAGAACTCCATCTTTTTATGTGATTCACACATCAGTGTCCTGTGGTATAATGCAAAGCAGAACAGTGCCAGTCCTATGTAGTCCAGTCCCAGCCAGACATTTATGTCATCGCTGAGCTCTGTGGCCTTATCAGTCTGGTGCTACTGTGAGCTGTGGAGCTGTGGAGACCCACTGTGTTTAATCAGCAGGATTAGTGGCACAGGCCACTGGGCGCGACAGATAATAGTAGCTAATTAGCCTACTAAAGTTCCTGCCCTGCCCCCAACTTAACATCTACCACACACAAATGGATTTCACGCCTCTTTGCCTTTTTTCCTGCACAGTCATTGGTTATGCTTTAGATTTGCTTATACTCAAAAGCTTTTTCTTTACATTTATGTTCTTCATGGAGAGTAGTGGTCCTGTCTTATTCCTATTTTATATCTAAGGCTCAGAACCGTGCCAGTATAATCAATGTTCTTTATGAGGCAATAAAAAAAATTTTTCAAACTTAAATTTTTATACAATGAATCTTTTTGGTAATTTCTTCATGGTCAGAAATGGTATAGTTTGATAAATGAAACTAAGCACATAAGTTCAGACTGGGATCTCTCATTCTCCCTTTGCCTCTCTCCTGAAATCCCATCTTATTGTGGCACTTACTACCTGATGTAGACATTTCCTGCATACTGTACACAAACAATGAGTACTTTACATAAGTCATACAAGTGAACAGTTTTGAATAGGTCAACAGTTAATTATTTTAACTGTTATATATTCATTAAATTGTGCATGATAAGGATATCGTATTAGCAACAGTGTTTTGTAAACCCTTTAGAAGCCCAATAATTAAACTAAATAATGTTGCTCCTTAGAGTGTCAGTATTTTTTAGGCTGTCCACACATGTGTTATTGGTAGAAATCCAGTAAAAGCAGGCATTACAAGTACAGTATTTAGAGTAAATGTTAATAATATAAGAGGAAAAAGACTGCCTGATTTGGGAGCCACGTTTAAGCCATCTGCTAACAATGTCAAATCATATTACAGGTGTTGGGTTTTCATATAAGCACACTTACTTAATGCATAACATTTAACCTTGAGCCACAAAATGTTTTATTAGTCCTGCCCTCTTCCCTTCTCTCAGTATTTATTCTGTCTGCCGTATGTGGCATCTGACCTGAGACTGAAATAACTACAGTATCTACACAGACTCGAAGGAACACACAGGCAGTCAGAAAAAAAATGTTCCCAGATGCTTTGCTTTTAGCCTGGCTGTACCTTTCTTTCTTTTTTTCCTATGTTATTGATCCCAGGACTTCTGTGCTGTGATTCTTACCTCATTGTTACAGCCACAATACAGTTCAACACTTGCTGTGTTCAGATATGAATCAGACACAGAGCAAGCATAACCGTCCTCAGTATGTTCTGTGCATTAATTAAATGCCAGTTAATGCTAATGACAATATACCGCAAATATTATTGGCATGATAATGTTTCATATTGCAGCTATAATCCCTTTTATTTTAGTGCCATGGTTCAGGCTTGAGTTTTGCAGAAGTGTTTATGTTCTGACCAAACATAACAGTTAATGACTGCTAGTGAAAGGTGAACAAGCCAAGTGTTTTAAAGACTAGCATTATATGGTCAAAACACCCAAGGTAACCATTTATTCCCCTGTGATAGGTCAAGGTGTAAGCAGCTTACACCCTTAGCAATTCGGTCAAATGGTCACATCATACAGACATATCTTGGGAGAAGCCAAGGCTAGGTCAATGAACGTAGGCATACAGTAAATCTCACCACCGTAACCTCTCAAATCTGTGTCAGCATTTACCCTGCTGTGCCAAGGCCTGTGCTAATAGGTGTGTGCTGTCTCTAGACCACTGCCTGAAGTGAACTGAGCCTTGAACTGTGTGTATGTTGCATGTTGCTCGCATAATGTGTGTGCGAGCGTGTGTGCACGTTTGTTTGTGTGCGAATGTCATTTTGTGTTGGCAATTTTTTACAGGGAAAGCTGCTTAGGTTTTTCACACACAAAGATGTACACACACACACTCGCGCACACACACACACACACACAACATGCTCAGTCACACGTAGGAAGGAGACCCAGGGCGAGGCCGCACATCTGACAGGAATCCAATTGAGCGTGTCTAATGGCGGACATCCAGGAGAGGAGGAGGGGGAAGCAGACCTGCAGTGATGAAGGAGAGCGGAGGACAATTTCCTCAGAGAGCTGCTTCTCTCTCTCTCTCTCTCTCTCTCTCTCTCTCTCTCTCTCTCTCTCTCTCTCTCTCTCTCTCACTCACTCACTCACTCACTCACTCACTCACTCACTCACTCACTCACTCACTCACTCACTCACTCACTCATTCACTCACTCTTAACATTACAGTGAAAAATAATGCTTTGTCCGAAAGCAAAAATCAGATGATATTTTCAGGCTCTTCCTCACTATCTCTCAAAATCAGTTTGTTCAGTTCTCATTATTTTTCCGTTTTTAGATAATTGTTGCCTTTAATGTTGAACTCAGATTTACAAACAAAAAAAACTTGTCTGGCCTGTGCTTAAAATTAATTTTTATGTTACTGTACTCAGTTAACATTCACACTTCTTCAATTATTCTTAAATTGCTAATTGGTTCTGTGATTTAAGAAAACAGAATGGCCTTTTTGTGCTTGCTGTGATCATATCAATTTTTGTTTCAACAGGGATGTTTTGATGTAATATTCTTTAGCCGCTCTTTTTCCTGTTCTATTCTCTCTCTGAAGTTTAAGCTTCATCCTCTTAAACAGGCCTACTTGCTGTATTGACAAATTATTGACTAATCATTGTTTTCCTGGGCTGCTGGCGGCAGTAAAGGGACCAGTTAGATTAGATGTAATTTTGCCTTTACAGACTATCTCTGTGGATCTGCATAGGCATATTATTGAAACCATCTGCCAGTCATTTTCAGCCGTGGTCTAGGCACGTCTCCATGATTGGCAACCTCAACCTTTGTTGGTTGGTTGGTTGGTCGGTCAGTGGGTCCATCACTTTGGCCTACACTTAAATAAAAAAACTATTGGATGAATTACAATGGAATTTCCTACCAATATTCAAGGTCCCTAGATCAATCCTAATGACTAGTTTCTCCTCTAGTGCCACCAGTGGGTCAAAATTTTCACTCATTCAGTGAAATATCTCAACCTCTACTTGATGGATTGGCACAAAATTATACGTACATCATGCATGTATTCTATTGACTTTTGTAATCCCCTGATTTTTCTTCAAGTGTATCCAGCGGATTGATATTTTTGGTTGTTATTGATGCACTCACTAAGCACCTGCTTATTCATGCAATTATCCAATTAGCCAATCATGTGGCAGCAGTGCATAAAACCCTGCAGATACAGGTCAGGAGTTTCCGTTAATGTTCACACCAAACATGAGCTTGGGGGACAACATTGTGATGTCAGTGACTTTCACTGTGCCGTAATTGTTGCCGGATGGACTGGTTTGAGTATTTCTGAAACTCTTTTTCCCCTGGGATTTTCACTTACAATGATGCCAAAAACAAAAAAACTTTGAGTGAGCAACATTTCAGTGGACAGAAACACCCTCCAGGTGAGAGAGGTCAAAGGAAAATGGCCAGATTGGTTGGAGCTGACAGAAAGACGACAGTAACGCAGATAACCACTCTTTACAATTATGGTGAGCAGAAAAGCTTCTCCAAATGCACAACACGTCGCACCTTGAAGCGGATGAGCTACAGCAGCAGAAGACTACGTCAGGTTTCTCTCCTTTCAGCCAAGAACAGGAATCTGAGGCTGCAGTGGGCACAGACTCACCAAGACTAGGCAGTTGAAGATCGACAAAACATAGCCTGGTCTGATTAATCTTCTGCTGAGGCAGCAGCAGATGGTAGAGTCAGAATTTGGCATCAACAGCATGAATCCATGGACTCAACCTGCCTTGTGTCAATAGTCCAGGCTGGTGGTGGTGGCATTCTGGTGTAGGGAATATTTTCTTGGCAGACTTTGGGCACTTTAATACCAATCAATCATGGTCCGAATGCCACAGCCTATCTGAGTGATGTTGCTGCTCATGTGCATACTTTTATGTCCACAATTTACCATTTTCTAATGGATACTTCCAGCATGATAATGCACCAAAAGCCGCCTTGAACTAGTTTCATGACGATGACAATGGGTTCAGTGAACTTCAGGGGTCTCCCCCGTGACCAGATCTGAATCCAGTAGAACACCTTTGGGATGTGGTAGAGCAGGAGACTGACAAATCTGAAGAAATTATTTGATGAAATCAACATGAACCAGAATTTCAAAAGGATAGTTCCAACATCTTGTGGAATCCATGCCATGAAGTAATGAGGGTGTTTTGAGCAAAATGGGAGACCCAACCCAGTAATAGTATGGTGTTCCTAATAAATTGCTTGGTGAGTGTATATCTCAATAACTATTGCGTGGATTATAGTGAAATTTGGTACAGGCATTCATGGTCCCCTCAGGAAGAATTATAATAACTTTGATTTCCTGACCTTTGATCCAGCACTATCATCAGTACTCTGCTTAATGAGTACATAATTGCAAAACTAATGACTTTCCCATCCTCAGCTGTACTTTGTGCATATTGCTAATTAACAAATTTGCATCGTAGGTTTACGAGGCATCTTGAGGTTTTATCTTGCTTTTGTTGCCAGACAAAATAAACATACATCTTTTACAAATTTAAAACTATATGTTATTAAATATAATAGACAATCAAAAATTACACTAATTCTACCACTGACTAGATCTTTGTCTGTATAAAATTGCATATGTCGAGGGTCGGTGCAGTTCTGTTTGGTTAATATAGTCCGAGTATGTTTACATTCTGTTTTAGTAATTGAATTTGACTTTTTAATGAGAGAGCTCCTTGATGGCAAAGAGGGGAAGGAGTGTCAGATTTTAGACTGAGCATTAGGTATCCATCACAGCTGTCTACTTGTAACCTGGGATCATTTAATTGTACCTTATTATAAATATATTATGCGTCAGTGCTCTTGTTCTTCCCTTTTCTTTTTTGCTCATTTTCTCTGCCCATAATTTACCAAATTGGATGCCCATTAAGAATATAGTCATTTGTGAATCAGTGGTTGCCATGAGCAACCGACAGTCATTCCATCAAATCAAAGTTAATTTTGTGGAGGAGTTGGTTTCATTTAAAAATAGAGCTCTGAACAGCTTCAGTCTCAGTCATTTGGTATTCATCTCCCCTCTCCTCTCCTTCAGCACTTTCCTCCTACATTCTCTGCAAACCTTCTGAGTGGTACTCATCAGTGTCATTAGCTAGTATTGTCTTTTTATTTGTTAGTTTAGATAGATGTTTACTGTATGTTTGTCTGTCAACAAAGCACAATCGTCTGGTCGTGTGTTCATGAATAAGAAAAAAAAAAAACTTTCAGCCAGAGAACACTTGATTCAAGCGTATGCTAAGAGTGGTGCAGCTGTATCAAATTGTGAATGTTATATATTGTCAAACCCTTACTATCAGTAATTTACAGCGTGTTTACTCAAGTTGTCATTTCTCCGTAATTCATATAGCTTGTTGACGCTAAATCGACTATGCTGAATTGTATTTCAAGTTGGCTATATAATGTCCAACAATGGTCACTTGTAAGCTGACTTAATACGATACTGCTAGTGCCTCTTTATTTTTCCACTGTAGCTCCCTCTATACTCCACAGTTCATGTAATGTGTGCTTTTGTGTGCGTCCGTTCATGCTGGTTTGGCATTCTTCCACTGACCTGCCTGTCTAGCTGGGCTGTGTGAATAACGCAAGAGGAGGGGAGATGAGGAGGAAGAGCTTGGGTGTTTGATAAAAGCCCAGACTCCCTTGCTTTAAGTGACTGGATATTGATCAGGGTGGCAATCATGCTAGCACTCTATTAAATCATATGCAGTCGGTCTCTTGTCTGTGGCATTATTGAGCTATCGACAGCATCGTATGAGTTTAACAGCCTTTTGGCACAGGGATTATAGAGCCTGCCTGAAGTGGTTGATATACAGTAGATACCATGCCCATAAACTGAATCAATCTTCATAGACAGACAGGGTGGAATTAATTACATTTTTTTGACAAGTTTAGAAGTTGGCTTCATCAGTTTGTTTGAATGTCAATAACACTAAAAGACAACCCTTTCCCAAGACCTAATATTGCAGTTCAGTGAATTTTGTACAACATTCAAGAATGAGAAATAAAATTGGGACCCATAAAGCTTGAACTAGGGTTCTGTGGTTGAAATGCACCTGAACTATATGAATAGCTCTAAGAGTTCCTGAAAAACTGCCTGATGGTCAAAAAAGGAAGGTCAGTCAACTTACATCTTCTCATTATCCTTGCATATTGTTAACTTGCTTTTGTAGTCCATTTATTTTTATAGAAGGATGTACACGGATTTTCTCAGTTTTTCCCCATTTTATTGCTGTGCTGTGTGAGCAGAAAGGCCTGACAAAAAAGAAAAGATGAATGATTGCAAATGTGATTGAAGCTGACCCGTCAGCATTTCCTTGAAATAAGCAGGAGTCGCTATTCTTCATGGATCATCATTTGAGTCAAACTACATTTTACGCCGAAAAAGAAATACCACATTTATTATATTGTAATTCTGTAATTTCAGTCAGACACTGCAGGTACTGAAAAATTACAGTCAGGACAGTTGATTGATGAAGAGAAAAAGACTAGCATAAAAGCACATGATTTTTGTATTGTATAAATGTCCAAGGCAGGACAGTGCATGCACCATACTTGTTTAAAAATAAACACACGATCTCCTAAGTATATGCCAGAAGGTCATAATTTAAATTGGATCTAATAATGGATTTATTCTATCATATAGTCCGTTTCTGTCAAATTCAGGTGGTTTTTAAATGTGGATATGTGTTTGCAGCTGATCCACAGGTGGTGTGGGAGACTATAAACATCTATCCACACACCAGCAACACCTGTGTTCATCTCAACATCTACTCTACAGCCTGTTGCTATTGAATTGCACTGCAGTTAGCAATGTTCACCTGCTGTTAATTGACTGGACAAAGCTCACACAGTTGCCACCAGGTGATGCTGAAGGTGTTTCACTGACCCTAACACTTACTGTATACACAGCCATATAAATACACAGTGATTTGATACTTGATTCATTTTCATATTTTATATATAAATATATTTTTAGTATTGCACATTTTTTTCCTTTTGTTTTTTTATACACAGAATTTTTTTGTTTCTTTCATTTCTTTTAAGGTTATGCTGCCCGGTATGTTTTAAAAGAGAAAAACACAGGAGAACAAGCAAAATATTTAAAAAGAGTCGTCATCTTAAAAAAATGAAATAAATATTTGTTGTTTTTGAATGTGCAGGAAAGAGTCGAAATTAGAACAGAAAATACTGTTTTTAAAAAGACCACCGTGTTTCGGAGGAAGGGTTTTTTGTTGTGGTGGTGCGTGCGCGTAATACATCAGTGGTTGGAGTGAATTTCAACAGATAATACCAATTTTTATTCCCTTCTGTCTTTTTTTTCTCTTCTTGCCTCAGCTGGGTGTTGCGACATGTCTCCACTTCCTGTATCCGTTTCAAATTAAAACACATCTGCAGAGTCATGTAATTGCAACTTCATGACATTGCTGCCATGGCAGTTATTTGCAGCACCAGGCTGCCACTGCAAAATGTACGTAGTGGAAACACTGGACTAGCAGCTTTTATTCATGTCTTTACGTCATTGTTCCATCACTCCATCACTCCAGTTGTTTTGCATCTGACAGGACCAGAGTGAAAATGTACCTTAGAAGCTTCATTTGACTGTAATAGTGCCTGATAAAGATGTCTGCAGGGTTTGACAGCTGCCTCTGACTTTGACAAGCTCTACACTACTGTAATTAACCCCACTTAGCAATCCGTCTTGTTTTTTCTTTCTTTCTGTCTCCCCTCACAACCCCCCCACACACACACACACACACACACACACACACACACACACAAACAGCAAGCACTGAAGGAGAACCTGCGGCGGAGGGAGTCAGAGGAGAAACAGAGGAGAGCACGGGCGGCAAAGGAGAAGGCTGAGCGTGAAAAGCAGGAGAGACAGCAGAAGAAGAGGAGGTTGCTGGAAGTCAATGCAGGTAAAGACTGTTCAATCTGCTTCTCCTGTCAACTGAGCCCTTTACAGGAAACTGTGCTAAATCAATCTAGGGTCAAATGGTGTAAGAGATCACTCAAGGAAATGGCTCTCATTTATCAAACGAATTTAAGTCCGATTTTAATAGATTAGAGGAAAACCCACATCTACACACAGTGTTCTTGTGATTATTATTACCCGTTGTGTGTATATATATATATATACAGGTATATATATGACAAAATAACAACAAAATCTTTGTTAGCCCCACTGAAATTATAATCTTGATTTTTATTGTTTCTGACAATTAATCTATTCAATGTAATTTTGGTAACACACACTGTGTCATGTTATTGTGTCATATGTGTTGCCTTCCCTTGATTTGTGGACAGTTTAACAAGGCAGGGTTCTAGACGTGTTGCATTGTACAGATTTCAACTTTGAACCATTTAAAGGTAATATTATGATAACTGATGAAAGGTTATCAATTTAAGTAGAAAAATTCACATCTTCTGTGACCCCTTCTTTGGAGGTTAGAACAGCATTTGTCAGGGTTGTAGGGTTTCAGTGTATTGCTACAAGACACTTTAGCAGGATAGGTAATTGCTAAATGACCAGGTTACCCAGGTTAACTGGTTGAAGGACGGCCTCTGTAACTTCATCCAATGAGTTACACTTTTTGGCTGAGCAGAATGTTATGCCACAGTCCACAAAGACTGATGATTGAATCGGTAACAACTTGATACAAAGTTCACATTCACAATTGATGTTAGTACCCTTACACTTTCTTCTAACATTTTATGATGAAAAGCATAAGTGATGAACTAGGCTGCAAGTAAAAGGTTTGGTGTTCAGCTGCTTGGTGGTCATAAAAATGCAGCCAAATGCAGCATGAAAAATCATTTTTTCTAATCCATTGAGTTTAAAATATGCTTGTCACAAAAAGTGGGAAAGAGCAATCATTTTCCAAGTTAAAACATTTTAAGAAGGTACCAAAGATTTCTCAGATGTCTGAGATGATGATACTTTGTCATGTGTAACAATGTATTTCTACAAACTCATGGACCTGTTACTCAAAATGGACTTCATGGATAATATTTAATGTCTCACTGGTACCTGAAGCAGCAGGCACCCACTAACACAGCACCATGTGTGCCACAAATTTGCTCTTAGCTCTGAATTTCATTGTATTAATATGACACTTTTACCCAGAAACTGGTGAGTAAAGAATACCTTGTTTAAGGCAACACGGTTACTACATGTTAATGTTTACCACATGTTACTAAGAATAAGTGTAACAGTTTTCGAGCTTTATGATGGATATGTTGCTCACTGATAAGAGTGTGATGGGTTGTGTACAGTTTCAGAGTTGGACCTCTGGTTTTGCTTTGACAATGTGGCATTTTGTTATCCGAAACATGCTGTTGAGTCTCCTTTGATTTTCCACTGTGCTGGATAAGTAATTATACTGATTACTTCCCGTATTGATGGATAGATCTATGATTTCAGCTTTGTGTATATTTTAGCAAGATGTTATCCATTTTTGTACTTGGTGTTTGTAACACATGCTCGCATATTGTCAGCAGATGTTTAAGGCGTTTTTTTCGAAGACCTCTACATATACTTTACAATACCTTACTCTTTTCAAACACTGTCCACTGTTGTGACCCTGAGGGACAGTGCAGCTAGAATGATAGCTCTGTTTACCAAGCAGGTTCCGCAGGTTCAGACATAGCTATGAAGAAGGCAATGTCTACCTTATGCCAGAGCATCTGGTTCCAACTGTCAGTTGTTTTTCTTTTTTTTTCTCCCCTCTTCCCCTTTGGAAAACCACTGATGCCAGAAACTTGTTCAACATTGCAGCCTCCAGACCCATTTCCAGTGCCAAAGCCAAGGCTGGCAAAGCAGTTGAGCTTGGCAGTCCCAGCTCTGCACCAGCATCTATAGCTAACATGACTATGCCAGCCACTGCAGCACTCCTGTAGACGTTAAGAGTGCTAGGAGAGAACCACCATGCTCCATCTAGGCCAAAGTACTGCTGTGGGCATACTATCTAGCCAAACCAAGGCCTTTCTTGGCTAAGACATAATACAAACTGGACATCTCTCAATTGTTGCCATCTCCCACAGAGTGCCTGAACTTTTATAGTGCTGGGCCCATCCAAATGAAGGGTCATGTCCAGTTGAAATGAATGAACAAGATTCTAGTTGATAGGTTATGGTACTGTGTGTTTGTCCAATAGCTGTACTGTATCTGTCAACCCTGCTGCGGTTATCTGGAAACACCAGCAACAGGGTTAAAGCCAAAAAATGAACTACCACCAATAGGCCCTTTTTGTATGGGCTGTGTTTATATTAGGCAGGCGCGGTAATATCCATCAATTGGTAGTGAATGGTCTGCAGATGTAGGCTTGAGGCACTGCTCTGTTTCTGCAGGTATTGCCAGACACCATGTCTGTGTAGGTATGTGCAGTATGTGTTTATATCAAATACAGTGTGTGTGTGAATGAGAGACAGAGACAAAGGGAGAGAGATAGAGATAGATACTGTACATTTTTACATGTTCTGCATTCTGATGAGACTTAAATTAAGCTTTTTGTCCGTCTTACAAAACAGTTTGTTTGCTTTAAGCCAAACACCACTCATGAGCGGAAATGCACCCTTCCCAAGCATGAAGCATGTTGGTGGCAGCATCATGCTTTTGGGATGCTTCCTTGCAGAAGACCCTGGAAGGCGTGTGAAAGAAGAGAGTAAAATGAATCCAGTAGAATTTAGAGAAATCCTGGAAAAAAAACCCAAAAAACATTCAGCTAAACAGAGTGAAAGCAGTTTCGTGAGGAAGAAAGGGGAAAATTATAGAGTCCAGATGATAATAACCTATCCACATAAAGTCAGAGCTTTAATTGTCGCCTCATATTAATCCTTATTTAATCAAGAATTTGGGGTTTTATATTAGTACTTAATTTAGATCTGTTTGTTTTCACTGTGGCATTAGAGTAATTTTTTTGTTAATCAGTGAAACAATAATTAGTACATACATTTTGTTCCAGTGTTGTAAACCAATAAAAGGGACCTCCGTTAATTTTATTGGAGCTGTATATCATTATTAATCCTTGTGCGAGTTTTAATAACTCTTGCGTGTTAAGTTTGTAACTCGCTCAGATTGACAGCTTGTACTTCTTTCTCCTGTAATTGTGTGTTGAGTTGTGTTTAACTGTAAACTTTTCTATTTGAGAAAAGTAGTTCAGAAATAAGAAAATCATAAGACTAAACTCCAGCCAAATTTTGTCAGGAAGGCTTATACAAATATGCCTAGAGCTTGAAATTTATTTAGATACGCTCAAATTAAGATAAAGCTAAAGGCAAACTCAGTGACAACCCCAAAAAATGATGTTTCTGGCAATGTATGACACACACACACACACAAACACACAGAGAAACACACAGACACACACAGACAGACTGTTGGGATGAAATGAATATGTGATAGAGATTTGGCATTGTGCTGCCAACCCAGGACAGGATTTACTCACTCTCTCTCTCACACTCTCACTCTGTCTCTCATTCTGTCTGTCTCTCAGCCTATTTATTAACTAAAGAGCTTTCTCTTTGTTTGTCAGGATGGATTGTCCTCAATGGAGATTTTCTGTGTAATCATCTGATTATCCATCAATTCCCTAAAAAGCCCCAGAGAGGCTGCATATCCACATTATGCTGAAGGGCACAGCAATGAGAGACAGGGGAAGGAAGGGGGGAGGGTTTCCTGGAGGAAATGATCAAAATGGATTTTAGCTTCTTTACCTGCGACAGGTATCTGCATTTGGTTTGGTTTTAGCTTTGCATACTTATGTATTCCTAAATGTGAGGTTGTCCCTGTTTTTTTTCCTCCTTTTCCTCCATCTCTTTTACCTGCCACAGACTGGGCTTCTATCTACACTATAATATGCAGCCTGGTGTCGTCATCTGCACGGTGCGTTCTGGCAGTCTGAGAGAGCAAGAGCATCAGCTTGCATGCATTTGCATAGAGCCCTATGGAGATTGAAATTCAGATTGAATAGGTGTTTTTTCCTTTTCCTGTAGCTGTGCCTGGTTTGTGTATGACAAATCTGTTGCATTAACTCCCAGGGTAGGCCGGGAGCGGGAATGTTTGTGGAGCGACAAATTACACATCAGAGCTTTATTTAACATTCCCTACATGGCTACAAGCAATGAACTATTAAGATGTCAAATAGAAGAGCAGCTAGAGATGCAACCCTGCATGCAAAGATGCTAAAAACATGGGAGGGACATGGGAAAGAAAAATCCTTATGCGAAGCGTGTGCTAGTATGAGATACTATATATTCTCATGAGCTATTTCTTAGATAGTGTAGGCAAAGTAATGCCCTCTGTAACATGGATTAGCATTACAGTGGTGCTAAAATAGTTGTTTTTTCATTTTATTCTATTGTATTATGTTCCTCATACCTTTAGCGAACAGTTCAGCTGGGATTGTACTGGTGAACCCACTGGACTGTGGGCTAGGTACCTGTGTTGCTGTGGGCAAGTAGGATAACAATGTCCTCATGTCTGAGTGGTGGTTTGTTGTTAAAAAGCAACTCCACACTATATTTTTGAGCAATGAAAAACATATGTTCACTGTACTCTAAGTCCGTCGGACCAATTTCAAGTCTGTTTTTGTTGAACCCAGCTGTGGTATAGCATGGTATTATAATGCTATAGTACATCAGTACTACACAGGTTGTGGCAAGGGCATGTTGTCCCCACCAGTTGGTGGTGTAAACCAGGTTATTAGAATGGGTACAGTTACTCTTGAAACTGTTGTTTTTTTAGGTTTTAATGTTGTACTTAGACTGCTATCATCTTGCGACTGGTGCTGGACTGGTCATGTCTCTTGGCCACTAAAGGGCAGAAGAACAAACAAACAAACAAACTGACAAACCCAAACCATTGACATCGTTTCACCTTAAGCAGTTGTTATGTTGTTTCCTAATATGAAGCAAAATC